GTTGTTCCAGGAAGATGGAGCACCGTGTCACACTGCTAGAAACACCCAAAAGTGGCAGGAAGAAAAACTCCTGACATGAACCCCATCGAAAACCTCTGGGCTATACTCGACCAGCAAGTCAAGAGAAAAAAATAACTTCGAAGAGCGATCTACTCCAAGTATTGAAGCAAGAGTGGGCGAAAATCCCACAATCTAAAATTGACGAGATGATTCTCATGATGCCCCATATGATCAACAAACTCCACGAAGCAAAAGGAAGATCTACTAGATATTAATTAAATTATAAATATATCAATTCATGTGAATATGACTGAAAAATTTCATTTTTTCTGAAAAGGTGGTGTCTATTTACTTGTGACCACGCTACGTATTCACTGACCAGGGTAGTCCAACTCTGGTCGATACCACACATTACTGGTAGAGAGAAACTAGAGGTGCATTAATGGACAAATTCCACCAGCAGGAGCTCTTTTGCCAACACATAAGATAGCAAGCATGATTGATGAAAGTGGGGCAGTAGGTAGCCTCTCCATAATGGGAGCTATAATGCTTAATGACCGTTGGAGAAGCCTAAAACCCTGCAGAACCAATGGGTGAGCTATATCCAGTAATTCGATGTTCTCAAACATGAGGGGAGGGATCTAATACAGTAATACTTCTTCAAGTGTAGGAATCCCAGCATCAACCCACTCCACCTTTACCCTGAGGTTTAGGACATTTCAGTTTGGTGTTGGCAGGGAGGCTAATGTCAAAACAAAAGGTAACTCTCCAACATTTAAGGGTGTAGTAAAAGATGATTGGAGATCACTACCATGAATGGCTGGACTTGGGAACAAATTATACAATGCCTGACCCTGTGTTTGAATAATCTGTCCATTCACACTATCATAGCTATGGGTCTAGAATACAGTTCTGTCAACATTTCATTCTAGTAGAGAACCAACTAGTTCATCAAGCCTAGTTCAAGGCTTAAAAGAGGATTTCCTCTGAGAACTTGGATGCCTATGTCAATTACCTACACAGGTTGCACGAGAAGGCATGCCCTGCAATGGATACAGCAGATTGCAAAGAGCCCCTAAATGACAAGTTGAGTGAGAGGCTACCTAGCAAGACAATGATGTGCCACTTAGGTGTGAGATATTCTCACCCTAATAATTGCAGCTTCTGTGGCAATAAGTTTCCAAGTCGGGAATTTGAACAGCTTGCAAGAAAGGAAAGGCCCACAACTGCAGTGGATGTGCCTTGAACAGACCATCCTACTCAAGCGAATACCTCACATTGAACTCCATTTGTGTCGAGGAAAACCAATAGCTAATATATCTCAGTACTGCACCACAACCACACTAGGTCCCAGTGAATGGACATGGCTTCCTTATTTGATGTTTGTGCCATTATCAATGCTGATTGTGCCTCCATTACTTTGAGTTTGGGCAGCAAGGCCATTTCAGGATGAACTACCCAAACCTTGCAGTGCAAAATAGGTGAGGTAACCAGTTTTTACCAACTGTATGATAAATGCAGGAGAGTTGGGGTGATCTGTCTGCTATTACTTCCTCTCAGAAAAGTTAATGAAGCCTGAGCTGGGTATGCCATGAATTCAGGGAGGTGCAGCAGCTAGATTGCATTGAATGGTGTGGTGGTTAGCCCAGCTATTTCAGGGCTGGGTGGCACTTGGTATGTGGGAGACGGAGCTCACAGGACACTTGCTGATTTCACCAAGTGTTGGACACTCTGAGACAAGCCATCCATCCAGTCACTTAACACCAACTTCACTCTGGCAAATGGTGTTAGACTAGACCCGACTAGAGCACATCTCCCATAACTGGGTAATGTCAATTGAATTGGCATCTTCAGATGGATGTACAAAGGAAATTACTGGCCAGTCTTGCCTGTGCAACAGTTTAGCTGCAGCTGCATTGCCTCACAAAAACCATCCAATATCAGCTAGAGTGGACCCAGGAACAGTGGGCCCCGCGTCTTTACTTAAGGATAGAATCACAGTATTTTCTTATATACAAGTATTTGTGTCCAGAAAGCAGACATAATTAACTCAGACATTTACATGTTCTATAATTATAGGCAGTCAGCTATACAACTTCCTATTGGAATGGTCATTAGAACAGCAAGCAGTCGGGAACCAAAACTAGCAGTGTTACATCCATTATGCCACATACAAAAGTAAGTACTTCTCTGCCAATGCATCTGAGTTGCTGGTTGAGGACTGGTCGTGAAATCTTGATTTAACACAGTGGCAGAAGTTCAATAACCTGTTATTCAAAATACTAATGTACTTGTTGGACAGACAATCAACTGGGTTGAACACAAACAACTAGCCATCACATAGAAATAGGTTGTGCATGACCAATTAAACAACTACCATGTAAGCTTCCTAGGAGGACTACTGTTGTAGGCAGAACCAAAATACAGTGGTGTTAAAGGATATAATCATACATCCTTAAGAGAATACATGACTATTTCCAGTAGTTATTGTCATGAAAGAAGGTATGCATTCCAATGTTCTCTATTGATTTCAGA